AAAGACCAAGACTTGTTTTCCAAGTACAATGCAACCATGAATGAATACGTTGAATACGGCGTAATGATCCACCTTATTTGCCAAATAACAGGTCAATGGTCGAGCGTCGAGCTGAGCTTCTGAAGAAACGTCTCCTCAAAGACCAAGACTTGTTTTCCAAGTACAATGCAACCATGAATGAATACGTTGAAGAGGGCCATGCAGAGAGAGTACCAACCAATGAGCTACACCCAGAAGACCGACCAGTGTGGTATTTGCCCCACCACCCAGTTATGCATCCATTAAAACCGGAGAAAGTCCGAGTAGTTTTGATTGTGCGGCTCAGTTTGCCAAGACGTCTTTGAATCAGCAATTGTTGCAGGGCCCTGACTTAACTAATCGTATTGTAGGAGTGTTGAGCCGTTTTCGCCAAGAGACTGTCGGCCTTGTAGCCGATATACAATCAATGTTTCATCAAGTAAGAGTGGAACCCAGAGACTCTGATGCATTAAGATTTTTGTGGTGGGAGGGAGGAGAGCTATCAGCAGAGTTAGTGGAGTACCGAATGGTGAAACACATATTTGGAGCGACTTCGTTGCCAAGTGTCATGAACTTTTGTTTGAAGAAAACTGCAGAGATGGACGGAGGGCAGAATTCAGAAGTTGCAAGTGTCATCAACAGTAACATGTATGTCGATGACCTCATGAAGTCAACTGAAACAGTGACAGACGCAATTGTGCTGGCAAACAAAGTTCGTGAGCAGCTCAGCAAAGGTGGTTTTCATCTAACAAAATGGTGCAGTAATGACAGGAGAGTCATAGCTGCTATTCCAGAATCAGAGAGACCTAAGACAGTTGTGAACTTGGAGCTTGAACAACTTCCAACCCAAAGTGCCTTAGGAATGAAGTGGGACATTGAAGATGACAAATTTGTGTGGGAGGTCTCAGACAAACTTATGAGTGCGTCTTCCAAGAAACCAGTGACAAGACGTGGCATAGTGTCTGTTGTGTATTCTTTATTTGATCCACTTGGGTTCATTGCACCATACATCATGAAGGCGAAACTGCTACTTCAGATGTTAACCAGAAAGAAGATTGGATGGGATGAACCACTTGAAGAGAACG